TAGTCCCTCAAAAGCCTTCTTGTGCACAGTTTAAGCATCACCAGAGTCAGTCTATGATGAGATTCTTGAGAGAGAAGCAGCAGGTGAAGATCAAGCAGGTGGTGTGGAGGTGCAATTGTGAGTTTGACCACAGACTGCCTGATTCATATATGGTTGCCTATAACGCCTGGCCGCTGCGTGGGCCATCATTCCTTTTTGCAAACAATACATAACCAATCAGGAAGCTGTTAACCTCGAAACGTGTTGTTGTATTTTTTATGTCTTTGTTTGTTTTGGCATTGATTAGCTGGACTTCCTTACAAGAACCTTCAGCCCTCACTTTGATGGAGATACAGTCATCCTTCCAGGTGGATGTCGCAGGTATGCGGCGCTAAGGTGGGGCCCGAGAAGTTAGACTCTACAGGGCCACTTCATGCCCCCCGTATCAACCATTCAACAGACTGTGGCTTTCCCTACACGTGCTGGACCGTAAAACGCAGGACCTTTTGCGTCGGCAGGCGGAGAAGCGCATGGACCAGGCACTCCACGACAGAGGATGTTCTTGAAGAAGGCGAGGTGTTGTTTGCCACCCGTGCGAGGTAGGCAACAAAAATCACGAGATGGACAGAAGTTGTTCAAAGATGAACACAGTTATATTTATATATACCGTATATGTATGATATTATATGCATATACAGTACAGGTGATTTGGGCCTCCTACGGTAGGAGCCCTGATGTTGGAGTCACGAGTAGCTATGTGTTGGGGGGGACGAGTGGCGACCCTTATATAATGTTTTAATTCCACTTTAATTGTGCAATGGTTTGGTCTGATTGAATTGGTATCCAGCTTGTCGGCTTCATGTACCTCTCTGCTTCATGCAACTCACCTTCAATTTAATTCTTACTCCTCCTCCTCCTTGCCATGATTCCTTTTGAGCTTCATCCTTTTCCTCAGGCTTTGTTTTATGCGCTTTCCCAATCATGTGCATCCTGTGACTGACTTCTTCTGTGCGCATGTTGCTCCGCGTGCTTCTGCTTGACCAAGTGGTTTGCTGCTGGCCGGCTGGTCTGCTGCTGGTGGTTTGCTGGTGCTGCGGTGCTCCTGCTGGTTTATTGCTGGTGGTATACATATATACATTAAATACAGGCAGTACATGTAATTGTCGCTTTAATTGTTTTCGCCTACCTACCATTCATCCATCCCCTCCCAGTTTGGAGTTGAGAGGGGTTATACGGGTACCACTCTGAGGTTTACACATGTTTTATATTTTGCATTAAATGAATGACTGTTTCCATAATATGCAAAGTATTTCCTGACTTTGACTGTTGAGCTTTTTGGACGGATGCCGATATACTGGTGGTTTAAGCATATGAGCCGCCAGCAAGTGGACTTCTTTTTCAAGGCTGCTCGAGCTGGGGTATGAGATGCGCTTTTGCCACCTATGCATTCGCATCAGAACCCTGAAACCACGCACTTGGAGGTCACCAACATGACATGTTTCTATCAGCTTTTCGGGTGATTGGGGGGTCACGTAGAAGAGCCAGGGATAGGCGATAGGGAAACAACATAAGTTTGTGGCTATATTATATAACAACTAGTAACTAGTAGCAAGAAGCTACTAGTAGCTCCTGGCATCGCTACTAGGAACAAGAAGCTACTAGTAACAGTTTTACAAAAAAACACATGCTAACTTTGTCACGAAAGGTAGCCCTTTAGGGGATACCTTGAGTTTGTCTTGCGAAGCAAGTGTTGGGACGTCCGGGTCTAATGATTGATCACTCAATTCAACCCCCCCCCCCCCCCC